AGGATGAATTTTGTGTATCAATAAATGTTTCAGATTATTAAAATAAGAATTTGAATAGTGCCATCAAATGCATATTTTAAAATAATTCCCAGTATATGTTTGATTTTCTTTAAATAATTAAATTTTCAGTGAATAGCAAGTTACAAAAGACATGGGTAGGAAATTATAGGGAGGAAAAAGATAAAGAAGGACGTTTAATTAACTGAACACTTGCTATATTCCACACTCCAGTAAAGAACCAAGATTGTTGGTTTTTTCCACCCATTAGTTTAAATAATCAGTTTCATGCTTTAACTGTTTATACAGAGAAACAATAAATAAATCTCTTAGGAATGTTTATGTCCAAAAATTATTTTGAGGTGGTCATCAAAATTTCATTTTCAAATTCATGCATGAATCAATTTAGATCTTAGATTAGAGAGTAGTAATTCTGGACAGAAATACACAAACAAAAAGGTCCAGAGAGGTTAAGTGGCTTCCTCAAAATTGCAATTTGTTGAACTAATAACCCAGAGTAGCATTATTCATATTTATGATTTAGCAGACTATCTTTCATTTAAGTTCTGTTAAATGTTTTTATAAAGTTCTTATGAATATAGATGCATTTAATATGAATAACCAAGAAGGAGTACAATTTGGATAGTAGTGGAGTTTACCCACTCATAAAATGCTACAAAATCTTTGGATGTGAGAAGTCTGGAGAAACAAAATCATCTTAATTGATTGATGTTTGTAATACAACAGAATGCAGTCAGGGAGTTAGGGAGGAAATAAACTGTATTTCTCTCCCTGTGTGGTTCAGTAATAAATATCTGCCCTTCACAGTGCTTGTACTTTATATTCTCCTTAAATACTCATTTTATTTTCCATTAGAAACAGTTGGTATGTTATTAATATTTGAGTAGAATGTTACAAGTTCCAAATCCTATGTAATATTTCTTGCAATGTTACTTCTTTTGGAGTCTTAGAATGTGGTAAGAAAGAAAGAAATTATCATGACTTTCATCATCATGTAGGCACAATAAAATAAATACAGAACAGAATCTCCAATCAGTACCAATAAGCTGGTAACTATTACTAAATTTTAAAATTTTTATGACCATGAATGACATTTATTATTCATTCAATAAGTATTTGTTGAGATCCTCCTCTGCATTGTGCTAATCTTTTAGATTCTGTAATGTTTTATTAAACAGCTTAATTATAAGTTGTCAAGAAGTTCTCCTAAATGAGATTGGAGTTAAAAGGAACTCAAGGATATGATCAAGTATGAGGTCATAATGGAAAGACCTAAAACTTGTTTGGGAAACATTAATTAATGCAAAATCACTTTCGAGGCCACTAAGAATCAAGGAATTTAGCTTTAAAATAAGCCAAAACAAGTTTCCTATTATTTTCCTATTTAATTTCCAATTGGAGGGAAGAATTTAAAGGTTCAGCAAATAATTCCTAAGTATTCTATGACATTATACCTCGATAATATGAAATATTTTGAACTATCATTTCTGCACATTATAGGATTATCAGGACATTTATAGTAAACATAACAATTTTAAGCTGATATTGGTTTACCACTAAAATAATTTTTCTCAGTTTCTACTGCATATTGTCAAATTTATGGCTGTTATAAAATATGTGACTACCATAGTTTTTCTTTTACAGAGTGTAGTACTGTTAGATATAAAGAATTCAGCATATATTCTTATTAGTAAAACCTATAATAAATAAATTTTATATATTTTTAATAATAAGATCTTTAATTAATAATTAAACATTCAGACCATTGATGTTATAACTTTGTGATATTTTGAAATCAAACATTTTAAATGGTCTGTTCTGTTCTTATATCCATAATATAATAATATATCACTGGGCATAATTATTTGTTTTTATATCCAGCCACAGGCAAAATCAATACATATTTTACATGAAATATCCTTATGAAGAATTGTAATCTATAGGATTTAATAAAGCAGTGGTTGAGAATCAGGTACCTTTTGATGGTTGCATTTCACTTAAATGAGAGCCCATTTTAATCTACTAAACTTCAACTCCTAAAATATTTAAACCAGAGAGAAATGTTAGCAAGTTTTACCCTTTATTTATTGCATACCTTCAAAGGTTGAAGTTCTTTCACAGAATGTACCATCATGTAGACACTAAGCAATGCCAATAGACATTCACATTTATAGGCACTGAGACATACTTTTATGGTAACTTGGGAATGCAAAGAGAACAATTATGGGATTAAGAGAGAGAGGCCATTACATTTTAACCTTAACTACTCTCACTAGTTGTGTGTGTGTGTGTGTGTGTGCATGCCTATCTTGAACAAATAATATCTCTGGATCACATTAGTTCACAAATAGAAGAGATAGGTTTATAAATATTGCTATAATTTGATCCTTCCCTAAATCTTATAGATCAATGGATCCAGAAGTGAAAGGTTCATTAATTTTGGCACTTCATATCAAGAAAACTTATTATTCTGGGACTTGGTAAGGGGTTTCAGTAAGAAGATGCACCAGTTAAACACTTATTGCCTTGGCTTAGTTCACATTGTCAGCATATAATCATAGTCACAACACAAGAAAGAGCTCAAATTTGGAGTCAGCAATAGAGGAAACTTAACTCATGTGTTTCAGGTATTTGAAATAATCAACATCCACTTCAGCAATGGCAGGTTGAAGTGACCTTGAAAGCTTTTCAGCTTTCAGAGAAGTCTTGGGCTTTCTAAATGTGTTAGCAATGCATTTTCTTTAGATCCTTCCTCTCTATAGATAGAAATGACAAATAAATGTAAATATATGAATCTGACTATTTATCAATAAAATAAATATAAATGGATGTATTGACTAATAAGTCATACATACAAACATGCTATATTTTTAATAAAGAGAATAAATATTACATGGGGAAAAAAAGGTAATATAAAGAGAACCAAATGCGTAGACAAAGTTTTCATCTGAGAAACATGTCAAGTTACTAAACAACTAGGAAACTTTGCTAACGTGTCTTATTTTATTTTATTTTTCATTAAATCAATAGTGATCCACATAAACTCTGTTGAGAGTAGTATGTGTATAAACAGACTCAGGCTGGAATTGAAAGGAAGCTTTCCTTTATCTCTCTGCTTAATTGTGAGTTCCTTTTAAGACAATGAGAGCACCCTTTTCATTTTTCTGTGCTGGCTGTGGGACTGCCTGATACCAAGTGCCTATTCACTGTGACTAAAGAAATGAACCTGGGGAAGAAACCATCCTCTGTTCAATGCAAGCAACTTCCTTTGCTCAAATCCTTCCAGTGCTAGGGAGAGTTCATTCTCTCCATAAGGCAGTCTTGATTATTGGGCATACTTCCTTCTTACTGAATTGAAGTTTATCTCTATTTTCTATGTGGTGTATAAAATTGTGGGGTTGAATGCTAATACCAACATGCAAAAAGATGATTAAAATAAGTCACAAATATACCAAAGTGGATACCATCAGAACTATGTAATCCCTTTGATGATCTTTGGATAAAATGGAATAAAAACACTGGATATTCCTTTGCAGAATGCTTTCCTTGAAGAATCTTTAACATCTGGCTTTTCTTACCCACTATTTCTGCTTCTATCTAGCTCTTCCTTTCTCTAACACTATAGGGGAGAAATGCTGTAGGCAGATGAAAGTTCAGCGATAATTTTCTCCAAAAGTTTAGTGTCATGATAGGTTTATGTTGGTTCTATAAAGCCCTGAAGACCCTAGTCATATGTGCTAAGTATGAATAATTACTGAAATAGTATATAAGACATCATCTCCATAAATTAGTACCACTAGGCTAGAACTGTCACTTCACTGAAACAAACAAATATTTCCCCATGACTTTCAATGCCATTATCTCTTCATTTAACAAATATGTATCTAGATCCTACTGTGTTGATAACAATGTTTCCGGTAGATCCTCATTTTATTATATTTATCCACTTAAACTTCATACTTTGATGATAGTTTATTTAGATTCTCTTAAGTGACGGGAGAGATCTTTCAAAAGTTATGTCTATTTATTTGTCCATATAGTAAAATAAAACTATTTTAAATATTTGGGCTTCAGAAAAAAATATTTTAAATTGATAAGTAATTAAAAATTAAACATAAATAGTACCATTTATGTATATGATGTACCTATAGATATCTGTTTCATTCTTATTTGAGGAAATAATTTGCTATGTTTTAAAAGTGAGTGTTATTAGGATTGGGAAGAGCACTATCCTAGATCCTATTAAGTGTTATTAGGATTATTTTCTGGGCACTGAAAATCATAACCAATTGGATATTTAATAATTCTTGAAGACTTAAAATTAAGATCATGAGAATAGGTGGTTGCATTTGCATGTCAACTTAATGAAAATAAAACAGAGATCTAACAGCTCCCTGAATAGAATAGTTCTGCTTCTATCTTTCATATTCAATACATAAATAATTTTCTTTGCAAATGCCCCAAACAGATAAACACTGATCAGATAGATAGATACACACTTTGTTTGACTCTGAAGTCTTAGAGGTCATAATTTTTGATTTTAGTACATTCTTTCTTTGTTAACATTTTTCCAACTTGGAACTAGAGATTATAATATTTAGCAAAATCTTTCATATTTTAAGATTGCATCTTAATTTCCCAAAATGATTAAAGAGATGATCAGTGTAAAAAAAACAATCAAATCATAAACATATTATAGATTACTACAAAAATATGAAAAATAATGTTTATAAATGATAGTGAAGAATAAATTATTTTTTCAGTGCACATAATTAGGTATATACAGGATAATTTAAAACCAAATGGAATGATAGCTAATGCTGAGGCTCTTAAAAATCTTCATCAAAATATACATGTTACCCAAGAGAAAGTGATAAAAATAAGTTGTGACATGAAAACAGTGTTGTTTTTCTTCGTATCCTCAAAATTTGGATGATATCTCATCAAAGTATTTTACTAAATGTGCAGATGATGGAAAAACTTTAATTCCAAAACCATTTCTCTAAATTGCCAACGGACTTGTATTCTTGATGCCTTTTTACATGATCACAAGCCAAGCATGCATGTGATTCCCAAAACCGTGGAAGATTTACAGTGAAATCTTTCCTCCAGTTAAAGTAACTAAGGTATAACTTATTGTTTTTGTCGACTTCCTTTAGATACTTGGCTAGCTCACTGGGAGAGTTATAATCTTCCACATGAATGAACGAATCTGCTGGAATATAATTCTCATAGTTTTCCCTAGATGGTCCCAGAACAACAGGTACAGAGCCAGCCAAAAAAGCATTGTAGAGCTTTTCTGTGATGTAATCTTTGTGGATTGAGTTTTCAAAAGAGAGATAAAATTTACATGTAGAGATGGTAGGAATCAAATTTTTATCATTCACATATTCTCCAAATGCTTGCCCATAGGTGTGGATTTCAATACTTTTGCTTAGCTCATTGTAATACTTGACCCTGGCATGTTCAGGGTTCCAGTTACTTACAACCCAACACACCAACTTCTCTTTGCTTGGCACTTCAAACACGAAGGGGTTTGTGCTCACCGTCAAGAAGCCATAAGGCACTTGGATATCTGAGTCACGGCGGTAGGTTAGAGTCAGGTTGAACAGATGCTCAATACCACTCTTCTGGGGAGTATGAGTTGGTGATTCCAAATTCATCCAAATCCATTTCTGGAAGGGCGGTCTGGTCTGCTGAGGTAAATTAGTCAGATCCCAGCTGATGTCTCGGTGATGTATCAGGACTGCGTGAGATTTGTTGTACAGTGAACGGTCTGTTGTGAGATGACATCCTTGGATATTGAACATTGCTTGGCAGGATGTAAGGTCAAAGGTTTGCCCAAAAGGCCACACCCACACCAAAATAGTAGTTTCATTAAAATAATCAGTTTTGGTGGAGAAGAAATTTTTCATTTTTAGCACTGAGCTGGCTGACTCCATTGGGCTGAAAATCCAGCTGTTGGTGGGCTTGATGTAAATAAGCAGACATGCCATGAAGCAGCCCAAGATAATGCAGACAATTAAAAATGGGCGGAGAATTCCTTTGGATGTTGATGTCATAATTTTTTCTGGGGAATAGAGAAAGGAAGGGTTAGTGTAAGGATAAAAGAGAGAAAAAAGAGAAAGAGATGGTACATTATAAAATAAACAATCAAAAAATCAACTGCTTTTCCTTTTCAGTGTTATCAAACCATTCAGAAAAAAAAAGCTTTCACTTAAGCAAAGAAACTGATTTTAATCAAAAGTTTTCCAGAAACTCTTCTCTACAAATAATGAGTCAGAATTTGTTCTAAATTTATCTGGATATTTTCAAACCAAGTTACATTTTTCTCTAGTGTCATCCATACCAGTTCTATTTTTACTTCCTTGTAGAAAACTGGAACAATATAGTCTGTCTTCACTAAAGCCGTGACAAAAATTTTTAATATGTTGATACTCCATCATATTTGTGAACATTTGTAATTTGATATAGTCACCTATTTGCTAGCATATTTAGACTATAACTTTTTAGTTCAGATGAAATTCAATAGAAACCTGAACTTTTAAAAAGAAAAAAATATGATGATGATGATGATGGTGACTATTTTTGCCTATGCAAGTTTATCTTTGCTGTTTACAAATGTATTAGAACAGTAATGTGATTTTACCTGGCAACTCTTGACTTGACATCTTATTTTTTAACATTGTAATACCTTCATTATTATTATCTTAGAAAAGCTTCTTTTGTTTTTATTTATATAGTTTTCTTACAATATTATATGTATTAATAATCCTTTAGAGAATCCTGAATCTACCAGGTTGTAATAACTAAATGCTCTACTGGCTTTAGAACAGCAATTTCTTTTATGTAGTATCAAGGTATTTAAAAGGTTTTCTTTGTGTGGGAGATTCAAGATAGTGGATTAGAGGAGGGCTGCATTTCTAGTTGATCCGTGGCTTCGGATTTATGCATGAAGAGTACTCCCACAGTCAGGTAGATGAAAGGGAATTCAGAAACTCTTAGACACCCAGAAATTCAGATGCATTGAACAAAGGGCAAGAAAGTGTAAAGCTGGTGGTGGCAGTGACAGCAGCACTGGTTCAGTGCAGAGGGGAGAGAGAAACACAATGCACAAATTTGACAGAAAAACAACTATAGAACAGAAAAGCAAACTGAACTTAGCTGAAGCAAATGTTGCACAATGAGCTAGTCTTGAACATCTGAAAAATGCTCTGTGTTTCTCAACTGGCCAATGAAGTGGAGGCTGGGAGCCATTTTGAATAGGCCACATTGTGGCTTTTGCTGATGCAGGAGCCCATGGCATCATAGCAAATATTGTCATACTGTCCCAACAAGTGCCCATTGGGTGACCTAGGGTGTATATAGTGGATTAAAACAGACACAGAGAAAATTGTACCCCAGGAATTCAAATCAGAGATACAGAAGGGAGTGCAACTTGCTTTCCCTTTGAGTCTGGTGGCTCACACAATCAGTTGATGAGGGTCAGGAAGTCAACAGGTGAGTGTGATTACACTTAGGATTGAGCCTGGAAAGGGCCACACAGGTAGCAGGTGGAGTATGTGAGACCCCTACAGGGTTGTCTCTCCTGCTCTACTAGTAACTTCCTGAGAGGCCCCTGAGAACCAGGTATTGAAATGCCCTAGAAATGGGTATTTACCTGGCTCTAGGGATGTGGTAATCTAATCTCTTCAGAGTAGACACCACCCAATGAAACTCCTAAGGCCTGATTAGAGCTAAGCCCAGATACTAGACCTTCCCATTTAGAACTCTATAGCAGTCCAATTCTGGAAGCACACAGATCTGTTCTGTCGGGGACAAAATTTCAATTGACATTATTACCCATTTCCTCCTACCTTACTGTGGTTGCAGATCATTCCAACTGGCAGCTCCTTGGGCAACACAAAAAGAAGGATTTAACAACCCCTACCTTTTGCTCTCTCTAGAATACACAGCCCAAGAAGAAACAGAAAGTACAGTCTTGTATAGGCAGTGAGCATCCATCCTTGTTGACAGCTTGGACCACCTCAGAAAAGACAATTCTTTCATTTCTGATTAAGAATTTCTTTTCCTCCTCCTCCTCCATTTACTCCTTCCTCTTCTTTGTATTCTTTCTGTGCTGTTGGTTCACAGCTATACATACATGAATATACTTGTTTCCTTTTTTCTTATTCATCATGTTTTAAACATGTATTGTTTTTCTTTGTTTTGTCTTTTGAAGGTTAGGTTTTTTTGTTTGTTTTTTTACTTGTTTCCCTTTCTTCTCCTTTTTTCCTCCAACAGCCAGATTCTCTTGTTTGTTCTTTCTCTATTTTGTTTTCTTTTTTCTCCCTCTATATAGCTATCACTGACTACATCTCTTCTGCTTTCTTTCTGTTCACATTTTGAATATTCTAAATTTCTTTTTTCTTCTAGTCACATTTTCTTTTAACAAACTGTATTTATTGCGATCTTTTAAAACTATTTAATCAAACATAACTGCTGCCCCACCATTGATGTTATTGTAATTATTATTACAGTGGATGATAAAGTTGACACCTGCTATTTACTTTTATCCAGTTCATGACTATTTATTGTTGTTGCTGTTTGTAATTTTTGACCCCACCATTTTTGTTTTTGAGATAATTAGTCTTGTAGATGTTGTAGTAGGCACCAGGTGTTTACTTTAATGCTGTATGTTGTTCACTACTCTTCTTGCTATTGTTTGCTTTCCCTTTTAATGTGAACTGCTGGGAATTGACTGAGACACTGCAAATCACAGGGTACAGATTCTGATGCTGAGTTACTCCAAAACCCAGAAAGGAACAGTCACCTTGTTCATAAACAAACTAGTCATGTTCAAACTTTAGTGACACTAATTGTAGAAGGCCGGCTGGCTGCAAAATAACCGGGGGGTGACGAATAACTTGTGTACGTTGATACAGCAGGAGTAGGAGCCGTTTATTGTAGGACAGGAGCAGTATTTATACATTCCACACAGTTTATCTAATTAGCATAAACTAGATACAGCAGTCAACCAATCAGGAATCTCCACACTTAATGGCTCGTTTTTGTTACTTCTCAAACCACTCCCTCTGGCATTTTGCCAGGCACCATCCAGACTTGTTTAAGAACTCTAACATTCCCCTGGCAAAATGCCAGGTGTTATTTTTGACTTCTTTACAGACTCTAACACTAATGATATTAAAGGGGCAGTAACCCCTAACCAATGTCCAGGCCCCAAGTAGAAAATAGTTAGGGGACCCTCAAGTCCTACTCATGGGCATCCACTCCAACAACAAACCAGAATGTAGAAAAAGACATCTACAAGGGGCCTTAATCTAGAGTTCTCATATGACTCTTTAAAATATACAGGTTTCTTATGTGACAAAAAGCAATCATAAAAATGGTACCAAACATACTCTGCTGTAAACAACACAATTGCCAGATCAACAAGAAGTACTCCACTTTTGTGAGATCTACAGGGGAAGTTGGATCTGAATCTTTGACACAACACACACTGTCAAACTACACTGAGCATCAACAAAGAACAACGAAGGAACTATACTACAAAACTTTATAGGACACATCAAGAAAAGTACAGATCAATATCCCTGATGTACTCAGAAGCAGAAATCCTCAATAAAATATTAGAAAGTTATAAACAACAATATATTAAGAAAATTATACAAAAATTATACAATATAACCAAGCAGATTTTTATTCCAGGGTAATAAGGCTGGATAAGAAAATCAACAAATGTAATTCATCACATAAATAGGATTAAGGGCAAAAATCACTCATCTCAATAGATACAGAGAAACCTTTTGACAAAATTCAGCACTCACTCATGATTAAAAAAAAAAAAAAAAACTAAATAAAGTAGGGATACAAGAATTTACCTAAATAATAAAGGCTATATATGACAAACCCAAAACTAACATAATAGTGAATGAGGAAAACCTTAAAACACACATTTAAAACTCTGGAATGAGATTTGATTCAATATATAACTAGCAATTCTAGCCAGAGCAATTAGGCAAGAAAAGAAATAAAAGGGACAAAAATAGGGAAGGAAGAGCTAGAATCATTACTATTTGCAGATTATCTGATCCTATGCTTAGAAGATACAAAAAAGCTCCACCAGAATTTTGCTAGAGCTAATAAACAAATTCAGCAAAGTAGCAGGTTACAAATCAATAGCTTACTTATATAATCATAATGAAGCTGCTGAGAATGAAATCAGGAAAACAATGCAATTTACACAAGCCTGTAAAAAAAATCTAGGAATAAATCTAACCAAGGAGGAGAAAGACCTCTACAATGAAAGCTATAAAACACCAAAGAAAGAAACTGAATTAGACATAAGAAGATAGAAGGAACTTTATGTTCATGGAATAGGCATACTTAATATTATTAAAATGTTCACATTACCAAAAGCAATGCAGTTCCCATGAAACTACCAATGACATTCTTCACAGAACTAGGGAAAAAAAAGTTCTACAATTTACTTGAAGGGGCATAAAAAATGATCCTCAGCCAAAAAAGCAATGAGGGGACCATTGTAATACCTGGCTTCACTTTTTCTATGGAGCTATAGTAATCAAATTTGCATGGTATTGGCATGCAGTCCAATGGAACAGAATAGAAGAAAACTATGTAGAAAAAAGAAAAAGCAAAACACAGAGGCAGAACCACTCAGATACAGTCATTTGATCCTTGAAAAATGTGCTAAAAATATATGCTGGCAAAAAGACAGCCCTTTTAACAAATGATGCTGGGGAAACTGGTTATTCATATGTAGATGAATAAGCCTAGATACCTATATCTTACCCTACAAAAAATCAAATCAAAATGGATTAACTACCTAGAAAATAGACCATAAAGTTTATAGCTCCTGGAAGAAAATTTAGGTCAATACTCCACCGTAAAGACTCCCAAAGCTCAGGAAATAATATTAAGAATTAATGAATAATATGGCATCAAATTAAAAACATTCTGAACAGCAAAGGGAATAATTGAGATTGTGAAGAGAGAATGGGGAAAAAATCTTCTGATAGAATTAATATCTACAATACATAAAGAATTAAA